AAATCACACTGAACACCTTTAGGATGAACTGGAATGTCTATTGCGAGCCAGGCCTTCTCGTTCAACATCAGTGCCTGACCTCACAAATGCTCTTTTGACTGAATGGGCACAAATTCCCACAGATACACTCCAAAAATTCATGGAAAGCCTTCCTGGACGAGTGGAGACTGTTACAGCCACAAAGGCTGGGGGGCAACTTCATATTAAAGCCCAAGGTTTTTGGAATAGGATGTCCAGCAAGCTCATATAGGTGTCATGGTCAAGTGTCCACATACTTTTGGCCAAACAGTGTACCCTGACTACATTTGAGGTAAAGGGGAAACTGTATATTTGATTCTTCACTGAACTATCACTTTAAAGGGCTCTAGAGGAGAATCTAATCAAGTCACTCACAGGTAACAGTGTGTCAGTGCTGAGGTTGAACAGAGAGCGTGAGAACAGAGAAGGGAGTCTGTAGAGGATGGTAAATGCCACACACTGGGAGAAAGAAAGCACAGGGAACAGTTGGGAATGAACAGAATGTTCCAGCATGACTCAGTTGTGTTGATCATATCTGCATCATGCTCCCTGATGTGCCACTTTGGACATGTGCGCAAATGAGAGGAGGATCTATTAGACCATTAGGCCCCTCACTTTTGTACAAAAGCCTGCTGGGAACATATGAGCATGTACTAATAAAAATAAACGTGCCAAAAATTCAACTAAAAGATTTTTAAGGGAACAAAAGTGGTTCTTTCAAGGCATAATACCAAAGAGCCTTTTTTTGGCGCCTTTATTTTTAAGAGTGCACTGTTGCACCAACTGAACTGCTAATGGAAACTGCATTAGTCCATTACAGTACTGTGCAAAAGATTTAAGATACAACACTTGCATATGGAAGGGAAAGTCAGAAAAAGATATGTGAAAAAACAAGAGTTTCTAAATCTGTAGTTTAAACAATTATTGAAAGATACAGGGGAAACGGCCCCCTAACAACCATGCAAGACTAGGAAAACCACCGAGCCAGTCCTTTTCAGATAGACAGTGCTTAAAGCTTCCATCTTTGAGAGAGAGGAGGAAATCAAGCTCTCCAAAACCTTAAAATCTGAAAAAATCCACAGGTGTTTCTGTCCATCCTTCCACTGTGAGAAGACAACTCGGCACTATGAGTCTGAAAAGATATGTAGCTTTCAAGAAGCCTTTCTCAGGACAGGAAATGGACAAAAAAGAAGACAATTTGCAAATCAAATAGGTTCTCAGGACAATGGCATGACCACCCCAGAGTCCAGACCTCAACATCACTGAATGTGTTTAGGATCCCTTGGATTGTGAGAAGTAGAAAATTCAACCAACTTCTAAGACTGAACTTTGGAGATGTGGAAAAATATCCCTGCAGATTTCCCCAGAAAAAACTGAAAGCAAGTCTTCTGAAAAGAAGCTACAAAGAGTGGACGCTCTAACGCTTGAAAAATCGGACATTATGTTGAGTTGTTAAGGCTTCTGTGTAATTTTCTGTTAAAATGCTTACTGCTTTTGTTCTGACACTGAAAAATAAATAATGTATGTACTTACTGGCAGTTTGGACTAAAAACTAAATAAATAAAGGGCGGTCTCTGACTTTTGCACTACTGTATGTTGCATGAGGAGAAAGAATAATAGGCACCCCAGAGCAAATGCAAGCACATATTATATAGAAGCCTGTGTATAAACAGCCGTCACACAACACAAAAACTGACACACTCTGCTTCTGTTTTTCTGTACAGGCTATGTCAGTAAGAACACACACTCCTTGTCTGTTCTCTCTCTCTCATCAGCAAAGCTGAAGGGACTCCAGGTTCCACTAACAGAGTGCTGGTGCTGGTGTGGAATATAAAGTAGGCACGTTGAGAAATGCAGTTCAGCATACAGACTAGCCGTGTCCTTCACAACTCCACAACATTACAGCAATAAGCCTTGGAGGGAAAGTACTGGAAGTCCCGCAAAATATTCTATAACGCACATCGTTTATGTTAACTATATAGACTATATCATACAGATTATGATATACATGATGATTTGCACATTGATTGTTTATTGCTTTGCCACTAGACCCTCTTAATGACTGAACTATGTACAGTACTGTGCAGAAGTCAGAGGCTACCCTTCATTTAATTTCCAGTCAAACTGGACATTCTTATTCATCTTATCGTCTTTTTGACCCTGACTCTGAAAAATCTGTTCAATAATACATTTATTTTTAGTATCTAGTGTGTCCACTTTCTGCATTTAATACAACTTCCATTGTTTTCGGGAGACTCGCTTTCAGTTTCTCAAAGAAATCTGCAGGGATATTTTTCCACACCTCCAAAGTTCAGTCTTGGTTGCATCTTCTGCTTCTCACAATCCGAACAATCCTAGACACATTCAGTGGACTCTGGGGTGGTCAGTCCATTGTTCTGAGAACACCAGCAGCTTATTTGTATGACAGAAACACCTGTGGATTTTTTCAAATCTGAAGCAGCTTGATTTTCTCCTCTCACTCAAAGACGATAGCTTTAAGTGCTGTTTATCTGATGCTGAAACTCCTTTTTTCACTTTTTTACTTTGACTTTGGCCTTTTTTAAGCAAATGGATTCTTATATCTAAGCATAAGTCAGACTTTACAGTAATTAGCTGTTATTTGCAGAGCATATTGGGAAAGTGAACAGTAATTTGTGCACTCTTGAGCAGCATTTCTTTTGCAGTGATGTAGGAGTTTCCAAGCATTCCTTGAGATTTTGGTCGTTTCTGCTAAATAGCATTTATTTTTTATCAACAGTTCATATCACAGGAGTTTTTAACATTATTCCTATTTAACATGTCATTCATACACTCAAAGATAGGTTTAAATACATTTTACATATTTTGGTATTCCAATCATGATGATGTTTTGCGTTACAGTAAACGAGTTCATCCTGTAATGTTACGTTTAATAAACGTTTGGTTGCTGCCATGTTTGTAGTCTTAATGGTTGGCATAAATGTATGTAACTGCTATGTTTAGTTAATGGTGTGCTTGATAAAAAGTAGTGCTGTTGTGAAAAATAGCATGGTCATTCTCTTAAAGGTGCAGTGTGTAAGATTTAGTGCCATCTAGCAGTGAGATCACAGATTGCCACCAACTGAATACCTCTCCCTCACCCCTGTAAGTATGATCTTCAATTTGTCAAAATTTGGGTTCTCACAACACAAAATGGTTAGCCAGCACCAGCAGCAGCCACTGATTCTTCTTCTTTCTATGTCTTCCAACTGGTGTTATCGCGCCACAAAATTCAAGCTGCATAAAAATGCAAAAGGTGCTCTCTAGAGCCAGTGTTTGGTTTGTCCGTTAGGAGCTACTGTAGAAACATGGTGGCGCACGTGGCAGCCTCTGTTGAAAAAGGACCCGCTCCCTATGTAGATTTGAAGTGATCATTCTAAGCTAATGACAACACACTGATTCATAATTACAGGTGATTATACACAAATGAAAACATGGTTTTGTATACTGTATTCCATTTCTCCTAATAGCTCCCCCTAAATCTTACACACTGCACCTTTAACTATGTTACAGTTTGTAGGAACATCCAAATATTTGCTACCAGAAGCAAGCTAGATAGCTGTGTCATGTTTGTTCATAGGTTTACATGTTCCACTTCATAATGTAGAAAACTGAGGGCCAACTGAGGCAAAATACAACTGTGTTTGGAAATACAGTGAAGTACAGTATGAGTCCTCTAAATAAATGGACAAGTACAGGAGAAAATGCTGCCAGCAAATTTTAATTCCTCACTATTTTTATAGTGTAAGCTAAAGACATTTCATTTACATTATGGCATTCAAACATGTGATCAAGGCTTTGTTGCCAAGAAAAGTAAATATTGCATAGTTAGAAACAAAGCACACATATTTATCATTACATAATGGCTGTGAATCAGGGGGATCTCCAGAATGGAACATACCAACACTGCCATAGATGACAATGGATTTTGTGCATGCCTAAGGCAGAACACAAGAAGGCATTTAAGGTAAGGGAATATCAAACAAGACAATAAAACAGATTGGCTTCTCAGCTGTTCCAATCATCATAAGGTTGAATTGGGATACAGCCATGAGAGGGGCTCAGAAGTGACCTTGTTTCAACCAGAGAACCACTGTGAACGGAACACTAGGCTACTTCTGACAAAATGAATCAGCAGAACGTGGCTTAAAAGTGACGTGAACGAATTTTCTGTTTCAGTTCGAACAAGGAGAGTCATAACAGATGCACTTTATACTTTTTTATTTTAAATTTTAATTGAGCAAATGCGGACATGAGGTCGGTGTCCATGGTGCTGAAAATGCTGAGCACCAAGGGTTCTATAGTAAAGAGAGTTGCTCTGTTTAGAACCCTGAGTTCTCTACTGAACCATTTCATGCTTAAATGGTTCCCCGCATGGTGGAATGGTTCTTCAGATTCATGGAGAATGTGTTGTATATGGTTCTGTATAGCACCAAAGTGGGTTTTTCTATTGGTACAAGCTTGACATCATAACAATAGCAGAACCCTTTTTGGTGCTACATAGAACCACATACAACACATTCTCCGTCACTCTGAAGAACCATTTCACCATGCAAAGAATCATTTAAGCTTGCAAATGGTTCTTTGAGTATCCATGGTTCTATATAGAAGAGTCATCAGAGAAAGAACCATCTTTTTAAGTGTGCACCACTGCCTGGCACGTGCATCATTTTGTTAATTAAAAAGAGCGAAATCTAGAATTAAAGCGTGTCCATTGAGAGCAGTGGGCTTTTGCTTTTGATCAAGAGCAGGACCTCCACTGAAACCTCCCACCTTAATTTGCCATGTAAGACCGCCTTAGTTTAAGTCTGCTTGTTAATAAAGCAGCTTTACGCTGCTGCTCAGGTTCTCCTCCACGCAGGCTGCACGAGACACAAATGACTAAGCTGTACAATACAAATCGGCTTCATGCAGAATTCAAAGACCACCCCTACCAGCCGCCCCCCCAAAGCCCCTTCCTTTACCTTCTCGATCACAAAGCTGGATCGCGTCCAGGCTGAGGTTCTTCATCATGTCCTCGCAGGGGCTGGTGGGGCTGCTCACGCTGTGTCCCACGCGTGGAACCTCCATTCTCTTGCCCTCTCTCGCGCTAAATGCCCCCCCAAATGAAATGGCCACTTGGACTGAAGCTGAAGCTGCCCGTGCCGCAGGACGGGTCTCGTGGCTCGTGGAGGGAGGGGAGGGTGACTGGATGTGCCCTCTCTCTCTCTCTCTCTCTTTCTCTCTCTCTCTCTGTCTCTCACTCTCAAGCTGGGGTGGGGGAGAGGGGGAGGGGGGGGAGGGAGGGTGTGGCGTCAGCGAATCGTCACACCGGTTGGTCTCTTCGAGGCGCTGGGAGGCGAGGGATGATGACCAGTGGTCTCCGAGAGCACGGACGTAACCATGAGACCACGCCGGATCATTACTCATTACTCGGGGGGTCAATACAAACGAGCGCGGAGTCCCTCCACAGCTACAAGTGTTCGCTCCGTTTGTGGACAACTGGAACACGCGCTGGCGGATTAGCCGCGAGAAAGTGAATTGATTGCTCCTTATGTAACGGGATTAGCAGCCCATATGGCTTGTGCACAAGGTCCACTTGTAACACTGGCACGAATTGTTAAGCAAATAAGTTTTCATGTTATAAAGGCGGGCAGGGGGTGGTGGTGGGGGTTGGGGGCGTGGAGACCATATTAGAGGAGAACACGGTTCACAGTGCAAACTTCATCAAGATCAGGAGAGGGCAAAAATGATCTGGTTGGTCTTCTTGACCAACATTCATCAATTTTGTATAAAGGCATGTGGAAAAATATTGAATGACCCAAATCCTACATTGGTCTTGCATTTAGGTTCACCTTTCACATTTGCATGGTCTTCTATTGTCCATAACAATTTTCCAAACTCTCTTAGAATTAAACAGGCTGTTTTGGTTACTGTGCTTTACTGTGAAATGAGATAAATGAGCTCTGCTCTGAAAAGCACTAAGGGCTGAAACACTCCTTATAACTTCATTATGAATGGGCTACTATGAAACTACTATAGACGGAGTACATTGTCCATTTTATCAGCTCCACCTAACATATAGGTGCACTTTGTAGTTCTACAATTACAGACTGTAGTCCATCTGTTCCTCTGCATACTTTGTTAGCCCCCTTTCACTCTGTTCTAGAATACTAAGGACCCCCATTGGACCGCCACAAAACAGGTACTATTTGGGTGGTGGATCATTCTCAGCAGTAACACTGACATGATGGTGGCATGTTAGTTAACACCTCAGTGTCACTGCTGGACGGAGAATAGTCCACCAACCAAATATATCCAGCCAACAGCGTCCTGTGACCATTTATGAAGGACCAGAGGATGACCAACACAAACTGTGCAGCAGGAGATGAGCTAACATTTATTTCTATATGTGGACTATATGGACTGGAGAGCGAATCGTATGTTTTGAAACGTGAACATTGTTTACACTGAACTTCATATTCAAATTAAAAAAGTTTTCCATAATTTGTGCCCTTTAAATTACAACAAGTAAAAAGTTGTTCTTAGCTCTACACTGGAGGTCACCTAATAATATATGAGTCTATCTCAAGAAGAAAAATAACACAACTGAACCAGAACTACTTATGTACTAAATATGATGTTTTAAAAAAGAATTAGAAATAGAACACCTCTATTTTTACTCGAGAACTCTTTTATGAAGGGTATGTCTACTTTGTCCACTACTGTTCAATATATAAAGTCAATTCTAAAATATGTGAAATATTTCTTTTAATTTAGTTGCTTTTAGTTTGACATTTAATTTCTACCCCTATGTTGGGGCTGGTTGGCAAACTAAATCCAGAAATATTTTCTGACATTGAAAGTTTATTTCAGTTAAGATGTTCAATTTTTATTTGCCGCTAGATGGGTTGTCCTACTGTGTGGTATGGCTGGGATATACAGCAGAGAGTGAAAAATGTGCCACCCAACCCCGTTGTCCCCTTTTGATAAACCAGTTTAGAAAAAAAAAAACACCTCATCCACTGTGGAGTTGGGTGAGTATACAAAGGGGATCTGTCCCACCTACTTTTTAAAATTATGCCATCATTTTTGGGTGAGCAGGAGAGTTAAAAAATGCATTGCTTCAAAAGAGCTGTCAGATATCAATTATTATAACACTGTCAATTACATTACATTTTAAAACTCTATTAGAAAGAAGCTGCGATCTGCTCTGGAATATTTTTCAAAACTTATTTACTGTAACAGTGATTAGTAGTTCTTCCTTTTTTCTTATCATCATATTTATCCTAATTGGGGTATTTTGGTAAAATATTTATAATGTAGATTGTAATTGGCAACAAAAGTAGAATCTCTATACTGAATATATACAATATTCCTATTATTTGTTTCTCTGTGTTAATATTGACAAATACAGCATTAGATATCAATAACTGTAATTAGGCGTACTTTGTTTATCCATTTCCACGTTTAAATTGCTATATGTTGGCTAGCGCCTACTGATGTGGGTCCTCCCCACTTGCCAGAACAAATTTGCACCCCTGACCTCATCAAATAACTTTTTTGTGCCTTTTTCTTTTGTTTTAGGCATTTTTGCACTCTATCCATGTTTTTTATGCACAGTTTAAAAAAAAATCACAAAAAGCGGTTCATGGAAAACCTGTAACAGTTTCATAGCCAATTTACTCAGTGCCAGTAATTCTGGTGAGTACTATACACCTATATGAGTTTGTTGAACATCCCTTTCCAAAACTGTGGACATTCATATGGAGTTACGCTGCTAGTGCACTCCTTTCCCAACCCCTCCAAAGTGACCCCACACTTTGGCAATGTAGTATATGTTGCAAAGCATGCGACGCACAGGTCATCCCTCTTACTCTGCTGTACCCAGTTCTCGGTGCCAGTGTCTGTTACCCTGCAGTTTCTGCCATGATGGCAAGACCTTTAAGTCAAAGGATGTTGGTCAGCATATAAGATGGTACTGAGTACAGAACGAGGACATATGGTCTCTACACTGAGCCTTCAAGCCATATAGCAGTCAAACCATTTATCTAAATGGATAATTAAGAATGAAAGGCTTCCTCTTAAGTTATTTTTCATGTAATGAAGTCTGCATGCCCAAGAAAGAACTTGGTTTTAGAATGAATGTATTTCAGCAAAGACTGTTTACTTAAGCTGCACTGATTTAGTGTTTCAAATAACCTTTAACAAATAAATTTCTTGGACTGCACCACACAGGTGATGAATAATTTCTTTGTAGTGTCCTAACAAGAGTGATCAGTTTTAATGTGAGCAATTATTGATGACAGAAATTACACTAAGCCACTCTCTTGAGCAGGAGGGAGCTTCTTGATAGCCTGCCTGCTATTAAAGCCATGGATGGTGAGCTGCCAAAAATGAAGAACAAGTTTTTTTGGGATTATTTAAAACATACAATTTTGAACTTTGTGCTTGAGCTTGTGAATTCATGCCACCCAATTTTATGGGCTTGGCTACAACTCTTGGCACAGTCTGTTCTGCTATATTTCCAAGCTGCAACTCTCCTTGACCTTGAGTGGTACAATATCCACTTTATTACATAAAGCTAATGCATTATATATGCACCTACTGGGACGATTGGCCAAATCTGTCCACCAAGTTGACCTTGCTATGAGTGGATGTTGGCTAAGAGAATTTAAGCTTGAGGTTTGAGGAGAATGTGTTTAATTTGTAAATGCTTCTTGTGGAGCCTAGACCCGGCATTCCTGTGGTGAAACGGTCAGTATGCGAGGGCGTTGCACTATTCCAGGAGAAGACAAGCTCAGATGGTTGAATAACCACATGTAACTGGACGCTTTGGTTCAGATTAGTGGTCCGGAAATAGGCTTATGTGCACACACGCATTCTGCAACATATACTCGTCATACCCACAGTAACTGGTGAAAAATTAATTCAGACATTTATCAAACCTGACTAATATTTAATTAATATTGAGTTGAGAGGTGAGGATTTGGCAAGCCCTACTGGAATCAATCCTTGATATTTTTCAACCATGGGAATAAAATCAGAGTAATAGATTAAAGAGCCCATATCATGAAAAAAATGCACTCATTTTATCCCCAACATGTTTGGTTGATTTTGAAAGTGAAAATAAGTTAACATATCATCTACAGCAATGTTTCCCAACCCTCGTGCTGCAGGCACCCTGCCCTGCATGTTTTAGCACCCTGCTTTCATACAACCACTTAAACTCAGTAAGGGATTGTTAACGAGCTGATTAGTTGGATCTGATGTGTAGTGAAAACACTAAACTTTGCAGGGCAGTGTGCCTTTAGGACCGGTGTTAGGAAACACTGCTTTACAAGTAACTTCAATATGGCATTTTTCCACCAAAGTTAGTGCACAATTCCTATTTATTTGCTTAGTTTAACATCAACAAAATGTGGTATCCACACTTTTGCATGCGACTGTACATTGATCCTGTTCAGCCTACAGCAGTTTGGCCCCGCCCATTAATGCTGATGTTATAAGAAGTGTTTCAGCCCAGACCGCTTTTTGAATAAGGAAAAATACAGAGCAGCCAGTCAGAACAGAGGTCACTTACAGTCATAGGCAAAAGTATGGGTGCCCCTGCAAATGTTATGGCACATTTTACATTTTCTCCGATATGCTAAACTCAGTAAATAAATAGAAATTGTGCACTAAAATTTGCAGAAAGTGCCATATTTAAGTTTGTTTTCTGTTTAATTCTAAGAGATAAAGAGATGTTAGAAAATGGTGATGTAAAAATTATTTATGACAGTTTTGGGTACACGTAAAAAATTATTATTATTACGTTAAATGTAATGAGGTGACCTCAGGAAAAAAATACCAGAAAAATGAAGGATAAAGCCAATGTTTCTTTGACAAGGCTGCCACTGTGAAGTCTTGGCCTAGTCTGTTCTGCTGCATTTCCGCCTATACGATTCCTCTTGACCTTGACTGTCTACAGTCTACTTAATTACATAAAGCTAATGCAATTAAATATGCAGACAATCTCACATGTAATAGCCTATGATTGGTTGTTGATACCTTTACCACTCAAATCTGTGCCGGCTCAGATTGCTCTATATGTGCCAAAGTATCCTAGCTAAAGTACGTGGCTAATTCGATAACCCACAAAGGACCTCACAATGTGCATTTAATGAATTTGATAAGCCGACATATTTCTGTGCATTTGAAAACAAAAAGTGCTCAACTGACATCCAA